GGAGGATTCAACGGCGGCTAAAATCACACCCGAAATCCTTCTGGAGCTTCGTAAATGAGCAACGCAGGGAAGTCGGCTTACCCTTTTCCATGATTTTTAATGGACAAGACATTTGCAACCTATTCTCAGCCAAATTTGCTAGTGTGTTTGAAGACGAATAACTCTCCGCTAATCTCATTACTTCTGCGGACAGCGCTCAGCGTTGTCGATGCCACTACAGATACGATTTCTAGAGCAGCAACTAAACTTAAGGCTTTAGCTAAGGCTGAATCCGATGGTGTTCCGTCGACTTTTCTTAAAAAGAACATTACTAGTAAAATTTCAAGTTTTATGAAATACTACAAAGCTACTATAAAACAACATTCATAAAACCCTGGTCAAGACTGCTTTGCCATTGATGCATCCACCAAAACCTCATTGATGCTAGAATCTGTCTAGTTGGCCCACCCTGGAGAAGGTTCTGAAGGGTATAGTTTCGAAGCTCTTCAAGATTGATTTACTGCAAAATAGTTGTGCGACAAACGTATTGAGATCACATCTCTTCAGTACACAAGAAGGGCAACAAATAGGACGTTGGAAACTACCGTGGCATCACTTCGCTTTGCACTGTTTCTAAATTGTTCGAACTCGTTGCTATGGAATCGTTACTCGCTCACTGTAAGCCGTATACACTGGAGTCGCTTTTTACGCGGTTTTTTTACACGGTTTTTTTACGCGGTTTTTTTTACGCGGATTTCGGAATTTACACGGTTTTTTTTACGCGGTTTTTTTTACGCGGATTTTTGTTTTTTTTACGCGGATTTTGGTTTTTTTTACGCGGATTTCAGAATTAACGCGGTATATCGTTATACACTAGAGTCGCTTTTTACGCGGTTTTTTTTTACACGGTCTTTTTTTACGCGGTTTTTTTTTACGCGGATTTTGGAATTTACGCGGTTTTTTTCTACGCGGATTCCGGAATTTACGCGGGACGTATCACCCGCGTAAAAAGCGACTCCAATGTATTAGTATCGACCAGCATGGCTGGTCACTCCACTACCACTAACTTACTGAACCTTACTTCCTACATCTCTAACAGTATGTCAGATCGTGCTCAGACGGATGTCATTTACACTGACTTATCTGCTGCCTTCGATAAATTGAATCACCGCATATCAATCGCAAAACTGGACAGGCTTGATATCCACGGCTGCCTTTTGCAATGGTTTCAGTCGAACCTCACCGATCCCTATCATACTGTTGTCATTGGTGATCACCAGTCCCATATGTTCGCTGCCACGTCCGCACCTAGTAAGCTAGTAACCTGGGACCGCTGAATTTCCTGATTTACTTCAACGACTTGAATCTGGTAATTGAGGGACCACGATTATCTTACGCTTCTTCTTCTTCTTCTTCTTCTTCTTCTTCGCATTTCAAGCTTATTGCATATCGCATATTAGCTTATTGCGTGCTCTCAACTAAGTGTTCTAGATGCACTTCCAAAGTTATTAATTGAGAGCTTTCGATGCCGGTACCATTTTTGCATTGGTATAATTGTGTGGCAAGTCCAATCATACTTCTATGCCCAGGGAAATCGAGAAATTTTCCAACCCGAAAAATTCCTAGACCGGACCGGGAATTGAACCCAGCCACCTCCAGCATGGTCTTGCTTTGTAGCTGCGCCTTTACCGACTGAGCTAAGGGAGGCCCCAAATATGAAGATCATGAATTATTCCAATTATGTCTTGTCAAGTTATAACAACTTTTATCTTTATTTTTCCATTATTTCATAAGCTTTTAGGAGAGAATGGGGCAAGTGAGGACACAAAATCAACTTTTTTTCATGAAGCTTAGCTCAAGTACTATAAAGTTGAGAATTCAGAATTCAAAAATAACTGATTTTTGGCTCCGCAAAGTGTCACACACGGCTGAGCCTAGTAAATAAACGAACTAGTTAAAAAAAAGCTACTATCAACTTTTATAAACAAAACTTTTATAATGCTGTCCTCGCCAACCGAACGCAAATTAATAGCATCATCCGATAGGGGAAACTTTCCCCAACCAGCTGATGATGTTAGTTATCGTAGGCGAGCCTTGAGTCATGAGAATAGGGTTTCCGAAATTTTGTTCACAAAAGCTGTTGCTTTTTTGTAATGTTGGTCGTGATATGCTCGATTTGTTCAACTATTTGATGACTCAATTGGTGCCCGAAATTCTATCAGCCAGAGTATAAATATAACCACTATACTCGCGGCTTTCTTCACCTGCACGTTATATGGCGGCAGCCATACTCTAAACTAAACTAAAAGAATGCTTTCCATTTTTGGGTAGTTTTAAAAGAGTGCGCAGTGTTCGGAAAATCATTCTCAAATCGCATTCATTGAGCCTCTATGAGAGAATAAACTCGCGTACGAATCTGGCAAACAAATATCACGCTTGAGATTATCATGCATTTTCACGCACTCACACTCAAAACGCCAAAAAATCATAAAAAACCGCTCAAACGTCAATTGATAGCATGCTTATGCATATTGTGATAGTTTCAGTGGATACTAATGTGATAACAACAGTAATAACCATTATAAACTTCAAAATATAAAGCTATGAATTTTTGACTCTGAAAACTCATCGGTGATTTTTACGCTGCTGAATTTTGCAAGGCAAAACTCATAGGCGAATAAATTCACGCATAAAATTTGAGTTTTTGAGTTTTCCGAACACTGAAGTGTGTAATTAGCGATCGAACGAACATAAAGTATCGCTTGTGGCAAATAGGATGACTTGACAAATTATGATAGTTTAATTATGTTGAACGGCGAGGTATGGGAGAATAATTTAAAAATACTTCTATTTTACGAATAACGTATTTGGTTGAGTATAGGGGTTATAAAATTTGAAATCTATAGATCTAAACGAGAACGTCGTAAAACAAAAACGTCCTGCAAAGGCTTGACCATTTTCACGGGGTGCCAGATTTTTATTTCAAAATCTAAAGTTGCCAGGTCGCAGAGTTTTGTATCCGCCATTCTATAAATGTAATGCAAAATCATAATTCCAGCATCGGTCACTGTTCCTCGAATCTGTTGCTCAGCTGGTGGTCTAACCACGGTTCCACTAATCTGGTGCTCCATTCTGTATACCCGCTACTGCTGCTGCTCCTTTTGTTGCTACTATCCCTTCTGCTGGTGGTCCTTTGTTGCTCGCCGCTCTCTCCAAAGTTCGAAGTTCGTCACAAGAGTGCCGTCCACGAGCTTATAGGAAGATTATTCATCAAATGTATAAGTCAACTAATAAGCAAATGAAGAAAAAAATAATGTTTGATTCGTGTCTAACAATGATGGCAACGCCACCACGAGGTCCATCAAGATGATCATTCCGATAAATTAAATAATGTGCGTCTCTGTTAACCTCATGGCCAGGTTTAAGGAACGTTTCAGTTATAACGGCAATATGCACGTTATGAACACTCAAAAAGTTAAATAGCTCGCCTTCATTATCTTTAAGAGATCGATCATTACAATTCAAAATATTTAATGATTTGAAATCCATTACTGAATTTCAAAGTCATGACGATATTGTTCGCAAATTTTACTCCAGTTTGAATAGCATTAAACATGGAGTTAGTTTTTAGCATATCAGTAGTAATCAATTAATGATTTCTGTAAAAAAAAAATCCATTTAAGGATTTAGGATTTTTTTCCATCCATTTTGTAATGCTTCCTAAGTCAAAATTTCAAAAATTTCCGTTAGAACTACGTTGGCTAGTATTTTGATTTCTACCAGCTGAAATAGCAGCATAGGTAGCTCCATTTACTCGCTGAACATTGTTAGCAACGAGTGGAGTAGTTATAGATGAAGAATTTGAAGCAGGGGTGATACGAATGTAGAATTTGTTCCTCGCTTACCGTTGTTAACAGCAGAGGAATTTGTACCTGTTCGGAAACGTGGAGCGTTTCGCTTAGAACTAGATTGTAGGATCGCTTTCCGTGTCTTCCCAAAAATTTGATTTGTGATTTCACCACAATTTGAACATTTACATTTCTTAGGATCTTCCTTCACAGGACAGTCGTCCTTTGCGTGAGATGAATCACCACAATTCATGCAATTAGCTGGCATGTAGCAATTTTTTGTTCCGTGACCTCATCGCTGGGACTTACGGCACTGGGTGAGGTTTTGGAAACTTCCTCCAGTCTTCCTGAAGTGTTCCCACTTCACTCGGACATGGAGCATAAGGCTAGCTTTTTCTAAGGAATTAGGGTTGTTTAGTTCACTAGACTTGAAGTAAACTAAATTAAACTCATTCGAAATCCCGTTGCGCGAATCGCCAGCACGGGATTTCATTTTCATTCACCATTCACCTTTTTGGCATTAAGCCGGGAAAGTTTATAAGAATTTTTCCATGGATGATGGATCATTCTCATCATCCGTGAGCAAATCAAATTGATTGCTCAAATTAATTTAATCAGAAGGGGGATCAAGAGATTACCCCTTTCTTTTGCACTTAGGCGCCATGGTGGCAGTAAAACCAACCGGTAGAAACTAACGATTTTAAATTGGCTCACTACTTGACTAGCCTATTGGTCCCAAGTACATCTATAAGCGTGTCCAATTATAGTCGCAATTCTAGTACTAAACTATGTTTATTTGATTCGCTATGAAAATTTGACACATAAAATGAGGGGTACGTGAATTTTCCTCTGTTTCGAGGGGTGCATCGATTAGCTTGGGACCGAAGATAGTACCAGAGCTGAGCCAAAAATTTGAGCACGTTTCTTCGGGACCTTCTGGTTTTAGAGTTACCTCTATGGTAAAACGTTTATCCAAATCGACTTTCAAGCAGATTACTATTTTAGTTTCCTATTGATTGTTGTTAAAACTCTGTAGGCATCATCAACTATACTATAACATAATTAAATTTTCTGAATAGTAGAATGTTTCAACAGTCCAAAGGGCGACCGTCTTCCTACGTCGTCCCCTATTCTATATTGTATTTTCATCTCACACAACCTTTTCTTTTACAGAGATAGCTACCAACAAACGATCGAGGAAGGAATTATCATCAATTCGATTGGAGTAGTCTTGACTGGTCTTGGTATCATCATTCCATTTGCCGTAAGACGTTCGAATTCGCCAGCCAACTGCAAAGTTTATGTCACTGAACGTATCTAAGTTATTTATTGAATCAATTTTCAGTTATTTTTACGTTTGGAATTATGTTATGCTTAAGTGCAATCGGTTGTATAAGATAACTGTTAAAATTATCAGAGTAATCTGATGTTAATAGGCCTGTTATGTTCAAATTGTTATATCTACCATAAAGATCTTTATTTCCTGAAGTGTCTGGTTAACATTTTAAGATTTTTAGAAAACAAAACTGTCATGTATGCGGTTTGACAGATAATCGGTCAAATCTGTAGGGTTGGAGCAGAAACGAAGTGACAGACGACTAACTGGCGAAGAAAACAATTAAAATAATAAGGTTCGCTGTAATAGGATTTTCTTAGAAGCTTGTGCCATCAGCCACCAGATGGTCTAGTATTTTTGTTTTGATTTGAACAAAGTTGATGTTGTGTGCAATGATCTACGACAGTATGCATTTTGTCATTTTTTTTATGCATTTCAGTTTTGAGTAGAGTGAAAGAGAGAGAACCAAAATATTCTAGTACATTTAGTGAAAATGCTAGTACGATCCAGTAGTAGTGTTGCCATGTCGTACACTGAAAAAATGCAATAGCAGGCTCGTCACCAAAGTTTTCGAGCCGCTGTCTGTCACTTCGTTTGTGGTTGGAGTTCATTCTTAATCACTCAAAATCTTATAAAATAAACCAATTAGCGATCTAACGAGCGCTCGTGGCAAATAGGAGATATAGAAAAATGATGATGGTTTCAAAATTTTAAACGGTGAGGTAAAGGAGAGAAATCTTAAAAAAAACATTTATTGTCTGACAACAATATTTGTCAATATTTTTATTGCTGCTAAGGAGGAAGAAACTTTAAAAGCTTCCCGATAGACGCACAATTTTAAATTTTTATTGTTTTTCTTAGTTTTCATTTAGATCTAAAGATTTCATCTTTCTAACCCCGTATACATGACTAAATTTATAAAAAAATACGTTCTTCGTAAAATAAAAGCATTTTCATACTATTCTCACATACCTCGCTGTGCAAAATTATGAAACCATCATCATTTTTCTAGTTCTCATATTTGACACAAGCTTCGCTTTATGCTATCGTTAGTTTGCCAATAGCTAAGTTATTTGCTTCAGGAAACAAAAATAATTTTGGGAAAATATATCAATTAGGATATAACAAGTCTATTGCGCAAAATAAAATTTATTTCAAAAACCTCAAATCTTTAAAATTAAATTGTTATTAAGTTATTACATTTTTATGTGTTGTTTATAGAAGAATTTAATATAGAAACAACAAAACGACCATATAAAATAATGATTTGATTTATAAGTATTTTTTAAGTGTTTAAATCCATTTTTCAACAATCATTAAAAACTGAACTCGTAAGGGATAAAATTTTAATACCTTTTAGGCAAGCAGAAGCAGGCGATCAAAATATTTTATAAAACGTATTGATATTTCTATTTACGAAGCAGACGTAGTGTGGCGCTCAATATTCGAAAACAAAACAAACATTCTTTCTCACTATGCGAACAAAGGCAAATCATAGCTCATGTAGTCTACCACGTAGTTGACGAACACTAAAACTTAATATAATGAAAGAGCATCCATTATTACGTGCCAAATGATATTTTAATTGATAGTTCAAGTTATTTTAACTGTACGTTGCTTATTTGGATTGAATAAATATTTACAAACTGAATGAATTCATGAGGAAAATAAAATTACATCTATAATCCAACAAGCATAAAATAAACATATGTAATACATAACATTTTAAAACCATATGTGTTGAAACGCAACTATCGTATCGTATATTTGTAAGATTGAACGAGGATAAGAACATCTACTACAAGCAAAATGTATCTAGGGAATCTCAGTTATCAAATCATCCAGCGCACTGAACTGCTGGAATTTTCGACACAATAGAGCTGTCGAGTTTCGTTTGTATATTTCGAAAAATTAATGTATATTCATACTTGTTAAGTTTCGGTTCGTATTTTCAAAATTGCTGTCAATACGTCCACTCTGACTTGCAATGTTATGTATTGTGAGAGAAAATAGCAGGGCTCACAATTATACCAAAAACCCCATCCAATCTGAACAACAGTCCATTTGCCTATCAGTGTCAGAAACGTATTTCTCGTAACTCGATTGGCTGTTTTGTGTTTATTCTACAATTCATTTCCCAATAGGTGTGTAAACCAGTAATTGTGGAACTAAGACATTTTATTTATTTAAAAATAAATAAGCGTAGTAAAAATAATTTGTTATATGTCATTCTATAGCTTTCACTCTCTTCTTTACTGGAAAAATATTACATTGTGATTAAATTGTAAATATTTCTGGAAAATCCGTTCTCCATCAATAGCAACACTGTTTCAGTAGTTGTGGTAGTTGCTAATTTTCGTTCCTATAATAGTGCAACGTTTCTAATGGATACCACTATTGGAGAAACACTACCGCAACTATAGGTGCAAAGGAGTCAAAATCTTAAAGAAAATAAATGGTTTTCCGTAATTTTTGGCTAAATTCAAAGTTTTACTATTCAAATCTACTTTATCTACCTACAAAAAATAAGCTTATTTGGTTATCTCTCATTATGTCGGTACCCCCATATGGCAACTATTGGTACACCACTCTTACTGGAACTCCTACCCTATTCCTGTTCAATTTTCTCCATTCTCATTCAATATTTATTTACAGTGGGTTCTACAGTTATGTGATCACATCAAAGCTGTATTAAATTTACATGGAAATTTTCATAAGATAAATGATAAATTTTTTGAGAATATAACCCTAAGATAAGATAGTAAAATTCCCGTCGATAATGTTTTCCGTACTGAGTACAAATGCTACCGACCCATCAACACATGGACCGGGGACCAACAGTTTTACTTCCCTTACTGCGCCTAATGGGATTGAACCCAGGCCCATTGTAGTGAGAGGCAGTCACGCTTACCACTACACCACCGGCACCGGTATGGCTTTTTTTTTTAGTTTTTAATGTTTTCTTCTATCATGAAACAACGGTGCAAAATCGTGCATGCTGTAAGTTGCTATAAAAAAGCAAACAGCATCAAGACAAAGGAAAGAACAGAAACGTCTTTTGCATGTTGCTGCACAGAATCTTTCAGAAAATTAAGTACGGGAACCGACCTATTATTTTAGCTTAGGTATTGCTAATTTTTCCACCAAACTGGACACCTTAAAAAAAAGTGTGATAAAAGTGCACATTTTCCATATGTAGCCAAAAATAAGTGAACCGACGACCATCTAACGAAAAGGCACACCACATACCTGTTGGAGCTTGTGAGTGTAGTATGCTACTGTGCTACTTAGGTATCATATACGTTTAATCCGAAAAAAAAAAACAAGTAGGGGCAACAGTCCTATTATTCCGGTTCGTTAGAAGCGTTAGAAGCCTATTGTTGTATATGGAGGTCTCCATACACAACAATAGGCTTCTAACGCTTCTAACGTACCGCAATAATAGGACTGTTTCCCCTACTCGTCTAATTTTACGTTATTTATGCTATGTTAAATTAGACGAGGTATACAATCCCGCGGATAGAACATATATGACTCAGGTAACACAGTAGCTTATATTACTGCTCTACCTGACTTATAACGAATGTACATTCTGCATATAATCACATACAGCCCTATTGGATTTTCTTCAAATTTAAATATAACAACGCTATCCACTAATTGGCATCTACTTTCATACCACGTGATAAAAATACGGGCTTTGATCATGAAAAATGTTAAAACAACATCAAGTCAGTTTGTCTCATCAAGCAGAGTAATCGCATATCTGTCACATCCAAAAATTCAATCGTCTCGAGGTCAAGTTGCAGTTCTGTATAATGAATTGCCATATTTTTTACTGATTTAACAAAACATGCAAGTTCATTGTAACTGATTAGACCTTGAGGCCGTTTTCTAAATGACTACTTTTTCCATGTCGTGATATAGCATACCACATCTAATTTTACGGTCATTATGCTATCTTAAATTTGACAAGATATACGATCCCGCAATAACCGAATATTCGTTATGAGTCAGGTATCACAGAGGTAGTAGCGACTCATTTTACCGCACTCACACATCATTCAGAGATTTTTATTGAGGGCTGCGATATTTTAATCGATTTTGTAGAAATGTTTAAATGGCGTTTCAATTTGTGCGTCTATCGTGTCTAACTGTGAGCTCTGATAATAACAAAGACATAATTTTGTTCGATCATCTATCTGATAAGCTATTGACCACTGACATTATCCACAACTGCGTTCTTAACAACAGAAGAACAAAAGAATCACTCGTGACAAAAATAAAATGAATAAACGAAGACCGACAGCCATCTGACACATGTAATCTTAGAAACCAAAAAATATGTGTTCATGTGAAAACATTGAAAACGATTCGTATTTGAAAAGACCGGAAATTTCGTGGCGAAAGCCTCAAATAATCGGCTCGCGCAATCCCACCAAGTTTTACACGGACAGTTCGATGTGCTGATTTAAAACTAGCTAAATATTTGATAGATGATATTAAGAAATAAACAATAAAATGAGTCAATCTTAAATAAATCGTAGTAAAATGTATTAACCCGTATGACAGCAATAAGCATTTGCATTGATTTTCAGTTTTCGGGTTGATGGATTCAGTTTGATGAACATTCTAGATTGAGCGCATACATACTATGTACACAATTTCTGATTTTTTTTATTTCATTTGATACCAAATATAATGAAAACATGTCGGGTGTAGCGTAAATATAATTCAATAGAAGAGCATGAAAAAGGCTTTAAATTCGAATTTTACATTCAAGTAAATGAACGAAAATTTCAACAAACATTAAATCAAAACAAGATTTCATCATACATAAGATAGCAGTTCGCTTATTTTGCTGAACATTTCTTTATTATCACCAAAATTAGATTTTCGCTTAAAAATATATTAATTAATACAACAACTACCGATGAATTGACATAAAGGAATATTTTCTAACGTTCTTCATAAAACTCATCTAATAAAAAATTAAATTTCCACCTAATCATTAAGTTTCAACTATAAATTATATCATCTCCATTTCTGAACAGTTCGAAAATTAAATCATCGATGAAACATAAGCGAAACTAACGTTTATTGATGAAAAATAGCGGTCATTACAAAATCGTAACTAAGGATTTCTTTTCCTTTGACCGAACATATATGTACGACAAAGTATTAAATGTCAAAAATAGATTAATAAACGATATTGTAGTGAAATATGCTCGTTGTTAAAATGATCAGTAAAGAAAGATTCCCTCCTGTGTGCATGTTAGTTTGTTGTTTATTTATTCCACATTAGGGGCAAGTATCTACGATCCATACAAAATTTCCACAAAAAGGTGCGCATGATTGTCTACGTGGGGGAAGGGGGATCACCCATATGGGTTTTCATCGATTTTGAGATAACCATGCTATCCACTATCAATTGGCATCTACTTTCATATTATGTGATAAAACTACAAACTTTGATCATGAAAAATGTGAAAACAACATCAAGTAAGTTTGTCCCATCCCATCAAAGTTAAAATTCTGCTTTAAGGTGATTCCTTGTAGAGTCCACAAATGGCCGCCACATAGGCTATACATGCACTTGCACTTCGAATTTTCAATTACACATATCTCGGAAATCGGTGCCCCATTTCACCGGAAATTGCTACTTGATGTATGCTGCAGTGCAGCACATATGGAGTAACAATTTGAATGTTGCACGTGTCGTAGAAGCTGATATTTGTGCACTTAAAGTTTCAAAGTGGTTCCGAGTATAAGGATGTCACAGTGATTCACCTTAAGAATGTATCGCTACGATTACAGCGCCGCGGTGGCCGGCATAAACTTGGATTTGTCCATTCAAGACCAACAATTGAAATGACCTTAACTCCATTTTGTAAACAAACCTTGTAAGGCCATTTTCTCACGAACCGAAGTTCGCAAAGGTAAACCAACATAATGAACAGGTAGGAGAAATTCTCCTCTACCCGATTGTGGTTTAGGTTTGCGAATGAAGGTTTCGGTTCGCGAGAAAATTGCGTTAAGGCCATTTCAATTGTTGGTCTTGAATTGATCAATTTAGATGGTCAAGTTTTGAACCCACCACAGCATGCTTTTGATGCTACTGTATATGAACGGTCAAATGTAAAATACTATGGTAGTCACAGCACAGTTCTGTCAAAACCTCAGCATTTTCATTGATGGTCAAGTTTTGAACCCATCACAGCATTTAATGTTAAAACTGTGGTAACCGCAGTATAGTAGTTCTGCCAAAAGCTCAGCGATATATAGCGCACATCAGGGTTCACTCGGCTGGCGACAGAAGCAGACCACTCTCAATGTGTGTCACGCGATCGTCTGTTTACTCGGCAGCAACCATTGTGTGGTCCTCCTCATTGTTCTTCATCAGCAGCTCTTTCAGTTGATGCGTCGTCGAGTTTGGAAAGCAACCGTTTCGTGATGAGTGTGCGAGTGATGACAACGTTTTACGTCCATTGCTGCAATGCAAGCGCTCTGACCCTCTTTGGCGAATCTGCCATACAATAAAACCACTGGAAGCGGCTCCCGTTCTGGTGGAGGAGGCTTATTGGATAGCGGAAGATAAAATGTTTATTGTGTTGTACCATTTGACTATATAGTTTTAAGATGTATTGTATAGTGAACAAGAATCCACGGTTCT